AATGTCACTAAACCGTAATATTAAGTGACGAAACCTATAATACAATTAAATTGAAGTTGAAGATGGAACTCCAGAGTAATTATTCTTCAATACTTAATTATTAATTGTGTATGCTAAGAATCAACTAAACTAACCGTTAATATGAGGACAAAAAAAAAAATTAAAAAGAAAAAGAAAAAGAGAGAGGCAGAGGGATGGCTGCACATAAGGAAAGTATGGCGCCAAGTTCCACGAAGCTTCTCTAGCTACCAAAAAAAGCTTCCACCTTTGGCCGCTGAGTCGTCTGTCGAATGTAGGATTCCTTCCACCCTTCCATCTCACTTTCTCGTAATCTGCAAATCGCATACTTTTATTCATATGTCCAAAAAATGGTATCGTCGGAATCCATCTGTTTGCTATAATATATTAATATAATTTCTGTTTTTCTCCTCGTCGGGATTTTAGGTTCATTGATTGAAAGGCAGCAGCGCCCATCATTCAGATACGTTTGGTCTGCCGGAGTCTGAAGTTTTTGTAAGAACAATATATGTAAGTTTTGAGGCTCAACTGTTTGATTCAATGCCTCAATGGGTGCTTCAGTTTTTGGTGGATTTGTTTGAATTCGATAGAAGTTTGAAACTTTTTGTTGGGTTTCCGAATATGGGTTTTGTATTTATTATATGTTGTATTTTTTATTTTTTTTTGGATTTTTGGTGGGTCATTGAATCTTATGTTTTCAAAAAGTTATGCTTAATCCATATGTTTTGTTTCTTCTCTTTTATTGCACTCGTTTTTCTACTAGTTTTTGGGTAGATATCAAATGGGATCTAAAAAGTTTCCACCTTGGTGGTGTTCTAGTGTTCCTTTTTGCATATTTGGTATCTGTGAGAATGCAAAGAATTGTCCCGCGTCGGAAAGTTAAGGAGCCTTGCAAGGGCTTATAAGGAGTTGGGTCATTCTCCCCATTGCCAATGGGTTTGGGGATTGAAACCTCGTTCCTTTTCTTAGTTTCAAGAATATATAATAATCAGTTGTGTGTGTTTTTCTTGTATCTTTAATTTTAACAAGATGCAGATTCCTAGTTAAGATTGCTAATATGGTTTTCATCCCTTAATCTAGTACATCCACAGGAGGTTTGCAATGACAACTTGTATACCCGCCGGAAGTGGTAGACTCCATTGTAGAGTGAGGGACATCAAGGGACAAGGTTGTAGAAGGACTTCTTGGATTTCCAATGTTACATTTAGTGGATGCATACGGAAAGACCTTCCATGGTATCCGGTTACTGCCTTGATACTGTTTATAATCTATTTATATGAGTCCTTTGCTTCACTTTGAAGTTGTTGGAACTGCTATTCTGCCATCTAGATTTTGGTTGTCTAATGCCATGCTTACACATTTTTCCACAATTTTCCAGGTCACACGGGGTATCAAAGTTCTTGCAGATCCAAAGATGTAACTTTTCCCAATCACCAATCACTGAGAACTCAAAGACCTTAAGAACAATCACTTCATCAAGCTTGAGAGATGGTTCCACTAAGTTTTTTGATTTTGCTGTTATTGGTAGTGGAGTTGCTGGGCTCCGCTATGCCCTTGAAGTGGCAAAACATGGATCCGTTGCTGTGATTACCAAAGCTGAACCTCATGAGAGCAATACAAACTATGCTCAAGGTGGTGTTAGTGCTGTTCTTTCCCAATCGGATTCTGTAGAGAGTCATATGCAGGACACCATTGTGGCAGGTGCTTATCTCTGCGACGAGGAGACTGTCAGAGTATGTAAAGAACTATAAGTTTCAGATAATAATTTATTGCTGTGAATAGGTATGTGTGTATTTGTTCGTGCTTTTTCTAATGTTTGATATATTGTCCAGGTTGTCTGTACTGAAGGACCCGAAAGAATTAGAGAACTGATTGCAATGGGGGCATCCTTTGATCATGGGGAGGATGGAAACTTACACCTAGCAAGAGAGGGAGGTCACTCTCATCGCAGGATTGTTCATGCTGCTGATATGACTGGAAGGGAGATTGAACGGGCTCTGTTGAAGGCAGCTCTTAAGGATCCTAATATCTTCATGTTTGAACACCATCTTGCGATAGATTTGCTAACTTGCCAGGTTTACTGTTTCGTAATGTTTTGTGTTATGAAAGTATGATCAGATATTGGTTAAACTGATTGATGGAATTGTGTGAATGCTTTTCCCTTTTTTGCTAACAGAAAAATGATTTCTGGCAATGCAGGATGGTTCCGATACAGTTTGTCTTGGAGTTGACACTTTAAATACAGAAACACAAGAGGTGATTACAATTCACCACATCTTCTCTTTAAGTTTTATAGGGCAATAGTTTGCTAAAAAAAATCTATAAAATCATCATCATCTTCCTTGCCTTGTTCGCTAATGGAAACATATTTCATATTTGAAATTCTAACTCCTTATTTTGTATTTTCAGGTGATACGGTTTATCTCAAAGGTGACTTTACTTGCGTCAGGTGGGGCTGGACAAATCTATCCGACAACTACAAATCCTCCGGTACTTCATGTTTTGAAGTGCCCTGTAATTGTTGTTTCCCTTATATAGTAGAATAAGATGCAATTCCTTATTTAAGTATTAAGAGACAGAAAATTATGGTTAGAGAGTTATGACCTCTTTTATCATAATAAGCATAACACTCGGTCTGATTGTTCTTGATTATTTCATGTAGGTAGCCACAGGGGATGGAATTGCGATGGCCCATCGAGCTCAAGCTGTGATATCCAACATGGAGTAAGTAAAACATATATCATTATTTTGAATTTTTTTGGGAGAATACTTTATTGCTTGAAATGTTGAGTAATCAAATGAGTAGTACTAATATGGGTACAATGATCATGTGAGTCAATCAAAAGGTCATTTCGAAGATTTGAATAAGACCTTTACGCCTTGGTTTCACAGCATTTCAGTTGACAATGTTTTCTTCTACAACTGATTAAACGTATACTACTATGCTGTCGCCCAGACTGGAAATTTAAATGTGGAATGATCTTACAAGCAATGTTAAGCTACACGGTTGTTAAGTGTTATGTTATAGCTTTTGAAATTGATAGCTCACACCTGTTTATGGTTTTCTCTACAGATTTGTTCAGTTCCATCCAACGGCATTAGCCGATGAAGGCCTTCCCATCCAACCATCCAAGGCTCGAGAAAATGCATTTCTCATCACTGAAGCTGTCAGAGGTGATGGAGCCATCCTGTACAATCTAGACATGGAAAGGTTTATGCCACTCTATGATGAACGAGCAGAACTTGCTCCGAGGGATGTGGTGGCCAGAGGCATAGACGACCAGCTTAAAAAGCGAAATGAGAAGTATGTGCTACTTGATATAAGTCACAAGCCCAGAGAAAAAATCCTCTCACACTTCCCCAACATAGCAGCCGAGTGCCTTAAGTACGCCTTGGACATAACTTGCCAGCCAATTCCCGTTGTTCCTGCTGCTCACTATATGTGTGGGGGAGTCCGTGCTGGACTCCAGGGAGAGACAAATGTGCAGGGCCTGTACGTGGCAGGCGAAGTTGCTTGCACAGGTTTGCATGGAGCCAACCGTCTTGCTAGTAACTCATTGCTTGAAGCACTAGTTTTCGCACGAAGAGCAGTCCAGCCCTCAATTAAACACATGAAGTGCTCTAGCCTGGACTTCAGTGCTTCAGATTGGTGGGCCAGACCAGTCGTGCCTGTCTCACTCGAGAGCAATGCCATCGAAAAAATTTTGTCAATGACAAGGGAAGTAAGAAAAGAAGTGCAATCGATCATGTGGAAATATGTTGGAATTGTACGTTCTACAACGAGGCTTGAAACAGCAAAGCAAAAGATTTGTGATCTTGAGGATAAGTGGGAAGACTACTTATTTCAGATGGGATGGGAACCGACGATGGTGGGGCTTGAGACTTGCGAAATGAGAAACTTCTTCTGTTGTGCAAAACTGGTGGTGAGCAGCGCCCTTGCTAGGCATGAGAGCCGCGGACTTCACTACACCATCGATTTTCCTGATCTTGAGGAAAGTAAGAGGCTTCCAACAGTTATATTCCCTTGTGCATCTGTACGAAGTTCATGGAGTTCGCGTCAGCTACAGAAGCTGCCATTGTGCTAGAAAGTGCACTTTTTCGGCCATCTGTTGAAATCATAGGGTTCTCAAGTTTTAGCTTCCCTTCCCAATCGATTTGGTAGGATTGAAGCATCTGAAATTCGAGCAGCTTCTGGTGTAAGCCGCACCAGGTTGCACCTTTATAATTTTCGGTTTCTGATTCCTTTTTACCTTGTATACGAAGGGTTCTTTGTTTCAAATAAAAGAAAGAAAATTTCATCAAAATATTAATTAAACAGTTTACATTTCAAATTTAATTTGTATTTGCTGATCGACGAACAGTGCAAAATGTAAATTATATCAACTGCAATCAGCATTCACCTGAGAAAGTTAACTTTTTGTCTCAATTTTTTTCCCAGTGTCCATTTTTTCCTCTGAACTTCTTCCCCTCGCGGACGCTTGCCTTATAGTGCTATTTGCACAAATCGAAGCCTGGTAATCTGGACAAGAGCGCTTGCGTGAACCCTCTCAATGCAGTAGCTCAGGAGTTCAACCGGCAGCTTAAGAACTGTGTATGTTGATGTTTACTCAGCTAAATACGCTCTCATTTCCCAAATTCCCCTGCAAAAGATCAAGGTAACTTCGATTTTCTATGAACATGTGTACCCCGGTTTCAATCACGCACGCTTGTCACGAGTTCCAAGCATGCATGAGCACAATCGAAAACCGTTTAGCTTGTTTGTACACTAGGAAGCTTTGAGCCAGAAGTGCTTTTGAGCCCTGCAAATATCTACGGATGTTCGTATTCCCACCTCAACGACAATTGCTGCCCAACTACTGTGAAAAGCTTTTGACTTCTAAGTAAAGTTTTAGAACCTAAACAGTTCGGATCATTAAAATACAATTCGGAATGGACCCTACAGAAGAAAACGATGCTCCGCTAACAGGCATTTTGGTGCAACAAAAATGGAAAATGATGCTCCACCAATTCTTTATTGAGTATTTGACATTGACATTTTCGAACAAATACATTTAACAATGAAGAATCTCACAAAGAAATTTCTCACGTCTAAGATACAACAAAGCTTTATCCCACTAAGTGAAGTCAGCTGTATGAATCCTAGAACGCCGCTGCGTTCGATTTTGCGCCAAGCCTTCACGTGGAAAAATACAATTCAATAAATCACCAAACCTTGTCACTTTTTTTTCTTCTATTTTTCTGTAACACTTCAACAAATATTTGCACAAAAAATTCATACCAAAACCCCTTCTATTTTTCTCGTTATTTACTCTTTTTTCCTTTTGACTTTCCATCCACCACCTAAAAATCTTTACATATGATCCTACATACTTCATTCCATCACAATACCTCGATGATGTCGTGTTTTATGATCTGTGGGGGTTTGCTGGTGTCGAGAAGTGTCTCCAGCGATCTGGGTTTCCGGTTCCTAGCCCTGCCGGCTTCTTTCAACAACTCCGCCAACCTCCGCTTCTCGTCCGCCACATCCGGATTTGCTGTTCCAAGCTTGTCCTCTCTCATGCCAACAACATACTCCAGAATCTCGATGGCGGCATCCAACCTGTATTCGTCACGAAAATACAAAGGGCATGCTAAATACTTTTTCGAGCGATATTCTAATCTAATCTGAGATAGAACGAGAATAACGAATGCCAAAACAAGGAAGAACATATTACCTGCCCATTGCATCATATGTGCCAGCTAAATTACTGTAAACCCCCAATGTGTCAGGGTGATAAGGTCCATACTCCTTCTCCAAGATGTTCCTGGCTTCTTCAAACAAGTCTGCAGCCTCGTTGATCGAAAACCGCTGAACGCAGGCCAACCCCATTTGGTTCAGTGCAATCCCAAACAATGCCGATTTCTTTTCTCCCGTGGCGCGGAACTTTGTTATGGAACTCTTGAATGTGTTGTATGAGTCAGTGTAATTTCCCATCATATAGTACATTACCCCCATCTGAGCCTCAATTCCTGCAGTTGTGCCCTGGTGGCCCGGAGCATTGCCGAAGATTTTCAAAGCCTTCTTGAGCAACTTCAGGGCTTGTTCCAGATCATTCATGGATTGATAGATTGCAGCAACATCAATGAGACCACCGGCAATCTCTTCTGAGGGGATTCCGGGATTAGGTTTCCCATAAATTCGATGTGCATTTTCGCAGTAGGATTTGGACTCCTTAAACCTTCCTATCTTGTTGTACAAGTCAGCTAAACGAACGTAAACAGAAGCTACTGTCGGATGTGTCTCTCCTTTCGTTGTCTTGAACACAGTAAGTGCTTTCTGGTAAGAAAACACCGCCTCATCATACCTTGCCAAAGATAGATACGCGTCTCCAATGCTACAATCGATTGATGCTGCATCCGCTTCCATATCATTGGCAGACATTGACATGCTTGCTAAAACATAGTGCTCAAGAGCAGCTTCGAAATCCCCTTTTGAGTCACAGATCAGTCCCATGAGTCTTCTATCTGCCGCTTCCTCAAGCGAAGCAGAACCATTTTCCCTGTGGATTTCAAGAGCCATCTGACAGAGCTTCTCAGCATCGTCGAATTGCAATGCTTGCACATGTGCCTCAGCTACATAACGACACGTCTCACCCAATCGCGGGTCCTTTTCTCCCAAGACTTGCCTTTGAATTTCCATACCTGCTGTATAGAACAAAATTGAATTCTCAATCTGACCGGTCATTGCATAAATGTCACCTAATTGCATGCACCCTGCAAACTTTGCTAGTGCATAGTTATCACCATCCTCTATCGCCGGAATATCAATGGCACGCTCGAGGACTGGAATTGCCTCATTGTACTTCTCTAAGCTGCAATAGATTGCTGCCAAAACATGCAAACACATAACGAACTCCAAATTAGGCTTCTCACCAGTGCATTTCTCGAACGCTTTCACTGCACGGAGAGATAACTCAAGCGCTTTCTTGGGGTTTTCGCCCGAAGCAATCATTTCCCTTGTTTGCTTGAGCAAATATGGCCCGAGATCAGGGTTATCCAACACGGCTTCAGGAGGATGATCATCGACTCCATTCTGAAACCTCACGCTGCCGCGTAAAACAAAACTCCTCAGCTTGTTCTTCGACAATAGTGCATTGCCTTTTCTCGGATGCGGAGGCTTCTCATCAGGAGATTTGCTCTTCGGACTTGTTTTCGCAGATGGAGACTTCACTTTCGTTGGAGACCGTTTATCATCCGATACATTTGCTTTCTCAGGAGTTGAGTCACTACAAACACCCTCCTCCTTGTTTTCCACAACAACCTCTTTCCTTATCTCCAAATCCTGTCGAGCATATCCGACAAGATGGTTTAGTTCGGAATCAATCCTCGATTCCCCACCGAACGATCCAAAGCTGGCCCGGGAAGGGGATTGATCCGAGCTCTGCATTTCGCAGACGTTGTGATATAACTGCTCAATAGAGGTATCAATCCCGCCATTCATAGCCATACCGATGGAGCCACTCCGAGAACTCAACGTACTTCTCGGAGAGCCCTGCTGGCTGTAGCTTTCCTTTTGAGGCGCATAATCTCCATTTGATTCATCTACATCGCCGTTTCGATTCATAGCATCCATAGCTAGTCCGGGCATTGATTTGTGCTTGTGCAGTTGTGCTGCAGTATGAATGAATGGAAATAGGCGATAACCAATTAACCTCTAAATCAACTAATCAAGTGCTTCTCCATGAAGCACTAAAAATTGTTTCTACGACACAAAAGCACTTTAAATCATCACTTAACAGACTCGTTTGGAAGTGCTTCTAAAATGACAGAATGTGCTATTAAATAAAATGTTTTTGAGTTTCAAAAGCACTGGTGTAAGAAACACTTTTAAGTACTTTTTGGGTTTTTACTGAAGATTGGTTAAAAAACATTTTTACCAAAATACTTTCAGTCATTCGAAAGCACTCACAAACAAGCCCAACTCGTTTGGGACTGCTGCTGTACAATATACTAAACACTTAATAAAACTCGAAGAAGCATCTGCCAGAAAGCGCTTCTATGACCCATAAGCACTTTTTAACCAAACATAGTCTGAAGAACTTGTTTTTTAACTCTTCCTGAAGCAGTCACAGACATGCTAAACCGTGATTATCTTGCAGCCATCCCAGAAACAGTCAAATAAACAAACAAACAAATCCAATCCAAAAACTGGGTTCTTTTAAAAAAACTCCAGATTACTTACTTAAGCAAAAGATCATATCAGAAGAAAACGAAATTCAAAAGCTACGGTTATTGCCACAAATGGTGAAGTTCTTAATACATAAAAGCAAAAACAAAAACAATCAGAACCCATTAAAAACAGAGAAAACCCAATACAAATACCGAAAAAAAAAATAGAAATAATAAATGAGTCGTTAATTACCTGAAAATTAATGCGAGTTAATGCGAAAGTCTGAAACTTTGAAGGCCTCTTCTTCTCAGGGTGCTATGTAACAGCCTGAGGGGTAGAAGAAGAAGAAGAAGACAGTAGAGAGACGAAGAGCGAGGGCAAATTGGGTAATTGGAAAATGGAATGAATTGAATTGGGAATATATATTAGTTTACAAGGTGTGGGGTTGCATAAAGTTGGAACGTTGAAGCAATGAGGAAGGCGACCTCTCTCCCACTCCCCTCTTTCTCTCTCTTCCTCTAATTTTCTTATGTTTAAATTTATTAAGTTTTTACTTTGGCCCTTTGAACTTTTTTATTTCTTTCTAATTGGAACGGATCCCCTTCTAAGCTTAAGAGGCTGAGCCTCTGAGCAACCCATATTAACTATTGAAACTTGATTCAACGGCTGCAATTATTATAACTTTTAGAGAGGTCATCTGTTTGTAGTCGTTTGATCAAATTTCAACGGTCCGGATAGGTTGCTCATGAGGCTCAGCCTCCTAAGCTTATGAGGGGATTTGTTCCCCATTCTAATGGGTCTCTGATTTTTGGATACATGTTTAACAAAGACAAAAAGTGACTAAAAAACGTATATGATCACTTTCTGAATTACAACTCGTTAATTCATATGCTTTCACCACCAAAGTGTAATCCATCTTATGGTATGCGATCAGACAACTTATGTCTAGGTGTTGGTTTTTTAGTTAAAATACAACGGACTCAACAAAACTAAATCAGTCGGTATCGTTTAATTTATTTTTTATCTGTAGTAAAATTGTATGACTCGTAAAACTATCTTTCTATTTCAATTCTTACTGACTTGATATGATAATATTTAGCTATTTTTTAAATACCATGACACTTTCCAACCCAAAATTCGATTGAATCAAATTATATCAGCTATTAATATCATGTCAAATTTCGTAAATGACGTCAATGTGGTCTAAATATTAAATCTCATTTTGAAAAAATTTAGTGGCTGATTTGGGACGAAAAAGTAAACAGAGGATGAAAGTGAAACAACCACTAATCTGAAGGTGACAAATATGTAATTAACTCGCCTTTTTTAATTCTTTTTTTATATATTAATTTTGCCTTTTTTCGCTGTGACGTCGCAAGTTGGCGGGAATAACGAGCTTTTCAACGCCGAAAGGCGGTGGAAAATGCTCGGATGACAGCGCGGTTTGTTACAGGATTACGAACTTTGATCTCACTTTACCACGTGGCAGCAGGGAAAGCGAAGAAGCCTCCGGCTTTTAAGGGACCGCGACTTAATGATTGTCCCGCTTTTCCAGATTCCACGTGGACCACGTCCAGCTGGATTCAGCTGGTTCGCCGCTCGATGGAATGGGCCATGAGCTAACTGGACTTTGTGGGCCCAAGTAAGTCAAAATTAGAAGGATAAAATATTTTTCTAGGCCCAATTGAGGGGGAGATTGTTGGCCAATGGAGGGGCTATTTGGAAAATAAGACACTGTTGGTCGCTTAAATTAAGGAAAGAATCTTATTTTGTAGTACGGTCATGGAACAAAAGTTTAGACAAAGATCAAATGATTGATATGGTTGGTGACATCTATTTTTTTGTTTTCTTTTAAAGGGAACAACTGGTGTCGAGCCACTGTTATCCACTTCTTTCAGGTTCGAAGAAAACTAATTGGAAATTGCATCCTACCGATGATCACAATCAAGCAAATTGACAATTTACAAAATATTGAACTCAAGACCTCTCGTTATTTTCTTTAGAGAGTTGTTGTTCGCACTTTTCCATTGGGCCACTTGTCGTGGTGGTAAGTGTGGGACATCTACTAATTCCTTTCTATTTATTACACCATCAAATACAAGAGTAATGGTATTTAGATGCACAAACCTGATAACATTGTTGACAAACACTCTAATATATGTGGATCCCTAATACAATAATAAACCTCATCTTTATTAAAAATAGTGTCACAATGCAGTTAGTTTGTGTATGCGACGTTAGGAAAATATAAACTTATTGTTCATCTGTATTGTTGTAACAAGTGGTTATTCGTGTAATACGTGAAATGAAAACACTTGTATCGATGTGAAGGTCAAAAATCTAAAATTCGATGCAAATGAAAAAAAAAAGCTTAATTCAATTATTGTCGCATGACTATATAGTAAAAATTATATAATAAATGAAATAAATAGACTTGTGATTAAGATACCGTATCACTGTATTAGCAGGATAATTAGTATAATTTTCAAGGAAATATTGGGCAACGATGTTACGATTTTGCTCGGCCAATTAATTATCGAAAGAGAATTAGCAGGTGAGGCACCAATTCGAAGATAGGGAATCTAAAAAGGATGCAGCAACAAACAAGTTTATCAACTACCAAGAGAAGGTGTTTTTAATTAATTAAGTGGATTTCAACTAATTAAGTGGGAGCTGTCTCATCTTCAATAACAGCTACCCCTATTTAGCTAAGGTTGGTGTGGTGTGGGTGTCTCTCTTCGACCTGTAGTTTGGACCTTTAGACTTATGTGCCCCATGTTGAATGATTCTGCTACTGATTTGTCGACTATTGTACCTATTATAGAAGATGCCAAGCTTTTTATAGAAATGATCGTTGAAGTTTTCTATTGCCCATGTTCGTCGTGATGCCAACTTTGTAGCTCATAGAATTGCTAGGTTTGCTCTCCATCCGGAGAGTAATTGTACTTGGTTTGGCAATCCTCCTCTGTTTATTTGTGATCTTCTGGAGGAGGACCTCCTCTTTCCTTGTATTGTTTAGCCTAGTTTATGGCCTTGGTATGAAATATATCGTCTTTTAATCAAAAAAATGTGTCCCACATTTGAGTTTTTCGTAATAAAAAGTATATGAAAAGAAAAATTAATTTCATAAAGTCAGCAGTGAGACAGAAGCTAGAGACAACTTGTTATATAGGTAGTCGTGCGTGTTAATGGATCTTCTATACTAGTAGTAGTGGATGAATCGCTTTCTAAAATAAAGTTTAATTTCTTTATTAGAAGAATAAGCACGGTTATTGCTTTCTCACAACATTCCGTCGGTATAGGCTTCTAACTTGCTTGTTAGAAGTACTTAACGAACAAAAAAATTAATCATGAAAATATAAAATATGGACATCATTTGTTATTTGCTAGAACATTGTAGGCCTTTGAATTTTGGTGATGCACCAATTTGGCGATACTCTAAACTAATCTTCGGGGATTCAAACATGTAAGGGGTAATGTGCATGCTACTCTAGTCAACTAACCTAACCACCTCCAAATCACAAACTAATTATGCATTAACGAAAATGGGGAGAGAGAGAGAGAGAGAGAGAGAGAGGTTGACAGCTTGACAGGGGTGGAGATCAGAGCTCGTTGGGTGGGCTAAATGAGATTTGGCTTTAGGAATATGATTGGATCAGCAGAGACTTGTAAGATGGGACTTGTAACCTATGTATAATGATATATTAGATAACTCACTCTATTGTGGATTCATAACTCATTCTGTTCAGTCTTGTCCATTTAACATTTTGACACAATAAACAACGGACTGAACTCAAGTACATTTTAATTGATCACAACCTATCACATCCAGCCTACCAAACGGCGCCTCAAAGTCCTGAAATAGCCAAGCATCCTCTTGAAATGAAATCAAATGGGTTGAGAGCAGGCCTGGCCCTGGCCCAGTGCCACAGGGGCAACTGTCCAGGGCCCAAAATTGAAGGGGCACCAAAAACCAAAAAACCCAAATAACTAGGTACATAAAAAAATTTTTAAAAAAAAGTCCAAAGGCCAAATAGGACAAGAGCCCAAGAAAGATGAAAAAAAAGCCCAGGTTATGGGCCTTAAAATAAAGATATTAAAGGGACCACTCGGTCCATGTCTGATGATCTTAAAGAATAAAGCGAATACTTCAATTGAAGATCATCAGACATGGACAATGATATGCAATGTTGTGAGGATATCCAGCGTCGCTGCCTTGGCATGTTCTGTATGCAGAACAACCAACTGTGCGGGAAGTATGCAATTCACAATTCAGCCAACCAAAGAAAAAATGCATAGCATGCATGCATATATCCATGTATTTATGTGTGCATGAGACAAAGAAACAAAAAATGACCTGATTGTATTCGAGGCGGAACTTAAGGTACTCGTCATCACAATTCTCAACCATGCTGGCCAAGCTCTTCAGATTATCCACAGGCATATCATTGAAAGTATGAACCTGCACATAAAGCAGAATAATTTACAAAAGTGTATCAAATGTTATTTCACCGATTCCTATCACCGTCATTTGCCGCATCAAATAAAGTGGACCAAATTTCCACGAAGTGAGATTACAGGATGAGTTCTTTACTTTTACATTGTTGGAAAATACACTATACCACTTATGCAATGTAAGTGAATTCTCCAGCCACAAACAATCATATCGAAGATTTCTAGTTGGCAGATAGACGTCAATGATCGATCAGACATCTGGTGTTTGACTTTCATACGTATTTACATGGGTTGATTTCAGTTTGGGTGGATTGGTTGAAACGAAAAAACGCATTCGAAGTATGTTTACATGGGACGCAAGAAGTTGTGAATTGGAAAAATCAGGAGAATGCATTTGCATTCGATAACGATTTGGAACATAAAACTCACAAATGTATCGCCCATACTGAAAAAAATTTCCTATGCCGATGGGAGCGTAATGGATTGGTAGGTGAGAAGAAAGTAGAGGAAGCCAGTAGAGGACAAGACAATATTTGGTGTTTTCTGATGACGTGTCGTGAGGTGGGCCTAAACCTTACAAACACCTTTTGTCGTGAGATGGGAGTGTAAAGAAAAAACCTTACTTTTTAATAAACAATGGATTAAGAATATATAACAAATTAAACAAAATATCTAGGAGATGGTTGTCGAATCTTTTATCATCTTTAGGTTAGGGTTTTCTTTGTAAATAACTAAACATACAAGGTTGACTAAAAAAAATAAAAGAAAAAAAAAAACTAAACATACAAGGTCTTTTTGGATTTATATACTTTGTGTATTCTCTTACTTTTATTTTTGCATTTTATCGTTCTTTTATTATCTATAGAAGTATAGTTTTTTTTTAAAGTGTAAATAGACACTTATTTACAAGATATATAATAAATTTAAATAAATTCGCCTAGGCGTCTGTCTAACCGCCTAGGCGCTAGGCCCACCGCCCACC